GTTATTTATTCAAGTCTGTTGATGAAAAGATCCAGCAACTTATTATATTTTCGTTTGCTTCGGCTTTTTTAGATACCTAATCAGTTAGTTTTACGCCCTTTTACCTTATTCCCATAACCTTTTGCTGTCTTCTTCTCTCATCCTCATTCTCCTTTTTTTTCAACTTTTAGCTTCTTACCTCGCAAAATTCTCTTCATGAGCGCAACAATTACCCAAAACAAAATCATCAACTTTACAAAATTGACATCTTTCATTATTCATCGATTGAAAAGCAACCATAGATGCATACGTTAACCAACACTTGTCAACATAATTTGGAGAGGAAAAAAACAAAACAAAAGATGTGATCTCAATCTAATTTAACACATTTTTTTAATTTAAAATTCATATGTGTGTATTTCGCAAGGCAATCATTAAAATACACACATATAAACATTAGAATAGAAACAAAAAAGAAACAAAAAGAAAACCTCAAATCAAATATTCAACTATGTTGACAAATGCGTCATGATTGATGATTAGCTCAGGTGTTTAATCTTTTTTATCTAACCAATCAATGAATACGAAAGGTGATGTTTTCAATGATGATGGTAGGATAAATGGATGAACGAATTATGATCACCTTTCCTTTCCCCAAACTAAACAAAGTATCTCAAATTAACTAAAAACAAAAGTATAAACATGATGTATCATCTACAATTTACATGATACTTTAGTCCCAAGGCCCTTGTTTCTTAATCATGAATAGTTTTTGATGCAGTGATCTTACATATATTTATATTTCAAGCACCACACATGTATAAGCTACAGACACTGACACACACACACCACAAATCCACACACACCCTAAGACGAATTGATGCTGATTTTCACCTTTTTCACCTTTTCCATCTTCTATCTTCTCTCTTTCCTCTTTCCTTTTCTCATCTTTTCTCCCTTAAAATTATGTTTTATTCAATCTTCTTATCCAATCTTTATCTCTCTCTCTCTCTCTCTCTCTCTCTTGAATCCATCATTTTATGTTCACAGGGTGTTATGTAAATTTTGTACCATACCATCATTTATTTCATCTCATTAACACTCAAACTTGATCACTACAGTAGTGGTTAGGGTTAAGTTAACAAAAGTGGAGATTTTTTTCATAGTCGCCATTTAACGCAAAATAAAAGCACCTTTAAGATCGAATTTGATTTTGTCCATTTCTCTATTGTCTAGTTTCTCTGAAAACTAATTGTTACCGAGATGGCGAGACTTGAAAATTAACTTAACTCTGGCCCTATTTTGTTAACTTAACCCTAACCTCTACTGTACCATAATCATTATCTATTTATTAATTAAATTGTATTTACTATCAAAGATATTGCTTTTAATTTTCTTCTCTTTCTCTCAAACAATTTCACTTCCGCCGTGAAATTTAAAAGCTATTGACCCGACAACAATTCACACAAATTTTACTGGATTAATCTTAATTCTCATTTTTATCTTCTCATTTCAAAACAATTCATCAACCTTGAATCAACTTTAGGAGACTATTAAATTGGTTAACCGGTAAACCGCCATGGGAATGCAGCAAAGAAAAAAGAGAAGCCATTGAAAGCGTTTAAAATAACATTTAAAGCTAAATTCAATTGTACCTTTTGCCATCCTAATCTCCAGTCAATTTCATAAACCACTGATTTACTCAGATCATCTGATGATCAAAAAGACTCTCAAAGTTACCCAAAGCGATTCATCTCAAGACAACTCAAATCAACTTAGGGCAACCCCAAGTTAAAGACAAGATTAGGACTTTATTTGCCATGATACATTTTTGGGTGTAACTTGCCTTTTTGTGTATTCAATTTAATTCAATTGAAAAGATGAAAGATGATGAGGATAAAAGGAAGAAGACCAAGATTTATGAATATTTCATCCAACTTCAATCCCCAGGTTTGACCAAATAACATTAACTATCCAATGTCAGTATATTTTAACAATGTTTTGTCTTGTTTCGCTGTCGCATTTGTTATTCAGTGTTGCTTATTTGCTTAACAAACTGATTTTTAGTTTTTACTTTAACGCAAATTGAATCCCATATCATTTTAAATGGACATGTTTTTTCTCTTCTAATTAACTGTGCAACCTTTAATTTTCCAGTAACTGTATAATTTATCAGTTAATTCATAGCTCTACATTTCAATTGATGCACCAAACATATATCAATACTGCAAAGTTAAACACGTATCAATTTAAAAGGCTCATAACCTGATTTGTAAATATAATCAAGGAAAAAAAAGACTGTGACTCTTTAAGCGTATGGATAAAGCGTCTGTTCAAGTCTCGTGCTTTATTTCATAATCTGATAGTCTTGAAGGTAAACTTGAAATTATCAAGTTGCACCCACACTTATGTAAACTCATCATTTATTACAATTTTTCAACCTAAAATTAACGTTAATTCATCAACGTTAGTCTCTACTTTTACTTGCAGTAAATGGTCAACCTAAAAGAAGCTAAAATTGATTAATGTTTAAAAGTTGAACAAAAAATACAAGATGAAGATGATGAAAAGACGCTCTTCTCTCTTCCATTAATATTACCCTTACCCTGTGATCTTGATTTCAAGGTCAATCCTTGTGTTGAAAAAAGCCTGTAAAAGTTGTTTCTGTTTCTTAAACCACTGCCAATTGACCACTTTTCAGACCCTCTATTTCAATTTATACAGAACCCAGATTTTAAGTCCCAGTCTAGTAAACTAATCAATCAATTTTCACAATTGTCAAAAGTGTTACCATTTAATTTGAGCAAATCTTATTGTTACCTTCATCAATTACTGAAAAAAGCTAACATTTTAGTTCAACTCTGATTTAATTGTCTGAACCCAGCGAAGACTATAAGGTGAAATCAGAAATCTGCCTGCCGCGGTAACTCAATTTTTGGGTAAGGGTATACAAAACCCCGTGAGCTGACTTCTTCTATTCTCAAGTCTCAGCTAGCTGACAAGATACTACTCTTGTGAGTCGATATTCCCGCTGATGATGATAATTGGCATAAATTTATCATAATGTATAAAATGTATACAAGTCTTCATGGGGAATGCCC